CCAAAAAAAAGCCCAATTGGGTTGGATCCATCTCTTCTCCCTGGCGGTGCATTTATTCCGTTGGCGGTTGCAGCACCGTGATGTGGTCCGACCTTTCCGCTCAAGGGGTTTTTCGGCGCATCTCATGATCTTCCCCAGGAAAACACAACCCAGTCTGTAGAAAGAGCTCTTTCTATAGGGAACCTAAAGGAGGAAAAAGGAGAGAGAGAAAAATCAAGCAGGGTGGGAAGGAGAAAGAGAAGCGAGGCGGAGAGGACGGAGACCCAGCCCGAAGGATCCAGCTTGGGGAATCCACCCAGGAGAGTGTCTCCGTGTATGGTTGGAGAGTGGGGGGGCCAAGAGCCTTCCCCCCCCTCAGGACTGCAGTTGGGCTTGAAGACCTTGTTTGTGACCGTATCCGACCTCTGCCGAAAATCCTGGCACCCCTTCCTCTCGTTCTTCATTTTGGGCAAGGGGGTGGGGGGTGGCCTGGGGGGCAGTGAGACCGCGGCCGTCCATTTCCACTTGATGTCCATGAATGCGAACACCATGATATTTATGATCCTCGGAGCTTCTATTGTTATGGTAAGGACACCCTTCCTTTTCCCGAACCTTATTCCCCAAATTTTCATGCCTCCCCCCCCCCCCCCCCACTTCCCAATCGCAGTCTCGTCTTCGTGTCTCTGTGCATCCGTGGTGCTGTGGTGTCCCATTTTGGTGTGTGTATGTGTGTGTATATATATATATATGGATATGTGTGTGTCTGTGGATCTCTTCTTATATAATTCTAAAAGAAGCAGTCGTTTTGATTGCCCTAGTTTTCCGTAGCAGCCAAACGCAAGTGAATGTTTTATTCCACCACCTCTAGCCCTGACCAGATGCCTTATGGGCTCTTACAGGCAATTGCGTGCTTGATGGATATGAACGCTCTCTTGGACCGATTTCACAATTATATCTTACCGCATTTGAGGGGCGAAGACCGCGTTTGCCACTGCAACTGTGGAAGGTAAGTCACATCCCCAGAATGGGCATTCTTGCGGCTCTAAACCATCTGTTATATGCCATTTTATACTTATTATCGATGTATTTGGATTGTTGTTTACATGATTTTAGTATGTTGTCCCGTGAGTCCCCTTTGGGGAGATGGTGGCGGGGTATAAATAAAAACTATTATTATTATTATTGTTATTATTATTATTAAATCATTCTTCCCTCTCCCCAGTAACAATATAATAATACATAATACATAATATATAATTGTATATATATTTATCATTATTATTATTATTATTATTATTATTATTATTATTATTATTATTCCCTCTCCCCAGTAACAATATAGTAATACATAATATATAATTGTATATATTTATTATTATTATTATTATTATTACTAAACCATTCTTCCCTCTCCCCAGTAACAATATAATAATATATAATTGTATATATTTATTATTATTATTAAACCATTCTTCCCTCTCCCCAGTAACTATATAATAATATATAATACATAATATATAATTGTATATTTTTTATTATTATTATTATTATTATTATTATTATTCCCTCTCCCCAGTAACAATATAATAATACATAATACATAATATATAATTGTATATATATTTATCATTATTATTATTATTATTATTATTCCCTCTCCCCAGTAACAATATAATAATACATAATACATAATATATAATTGTATATATATTTATTATTATTATTATTATTATTATTATTATTATTATTATTATTATTCCCTCTCCCCAGTAACAATATAGTAATACATAATACATAATATATAATTGTATATATTTATTATTATTATTATTATTATAAACCATTCTTCCCTCTCCCCAGTAACAATATAATAATATATAATTGTATATATTTATTATTATTACTAAACCATTCTTCCCTCTCCCCAGTAACAATATAATAATACATAATACATAATATATAATTGTATATATTTATTATTATTACTAAACCATTCTTCCCTCTCCCCAGTAACAATATAATAATATATAATACATAACATATAATTGTATATATTTGTTCTTACTATTATTATTATTGAACCATTTTTCCCTCTCCCCAGTAACAATATAATAATACATAATACATAATATATAATTGTATATATTTATTATTATTATTATTATTATTATTATTATTATTATTATTATTAAACCATTCTTCCCTCTCCCCAGTAACAATATAGTAATATATAATACACAATATATAATTGTATATATTTATTATTGTTATTATTATTATTAAACCATTCTTCCCTCTCCCCAGTATCAATATAGTAATATATAATACATAATATATAATTGTATATATTTATTATTATTATTATTATTAAATCATTCTTCCCTCTCCCCAGTAACAATATAATAATATATAATACATAATATATAATTGGTACCGCTCCGGCGGGAAGGTAACGCGCTCCATGCAGTCATGCCGGCCACATGACCTTGGAGGTGTCTACGGACAACGCTGGCTCTTCGGCTTAGAAATGGAGATGAGCACACACCCCAGAGTCAGACATGACTGGACTTAATGTCAGGGGACTACCTTTACCTTTATATAACCCTTATTTCAGCTTTATATTTTTACATGGAGTATATAAACAACAATATACACACACACACACACACACATATATAATTGTGCTGTGCTAGTAATATAATATACTGTATATACATATAATATTGATAATAATGTTATAATGTAATACAATATAATAATACTAATAATACGATATAATAATAATAATGTAGTAATATATAATATATAATTATATATATAATATAATTGTGGTGTGCTAGTAATATAATATACTGTATATACATATAATATTGATAATAATGTTATGTAATACAATAGTAATAATAATAATAGGATATAATAATTGTATAGAAATATATAATACATAATATAATATATGTATATATATATAATAAAATATAATTGTGGTGTGCTAGTAATATAATATATTATAAGGATATAATAATTGTATAGTAATATATAATACATAATACATAATTGTATATAATATATAATTATAATATAATTGTGGTGTGCTAGTAATATAATATACTGTATATACATATAATATTGATAATAATGTTATAATGTAATACAATATAGTAATACTAATAATAATAGGATATAATAATTGTATAGTAATATATAATACATAATACATAATTGTATATAATATATAATTATAATATAATTGTGGTGTGCTAGTAATATAATATACTGTATATACATATAATATTGATAATAATGTTATAATGTAATACAATATAATAATAATACTAATAATAATACCATATAATAATTGTATATTATATATTACATGTAATATTATTAATAATATTGCAGTATAGTACAATAGGTAAAGGTTTTCCCCTGACATTAAGTCCAGTTGTGTCTGACTCTGGGGCTTGTTGTTCATCTCCGTTTTTAAGCCAAAGAGCTGGCATTGTCCGTAGACACCTCCAAGGTCATGTGGCCAGCATGACTACTTAGGGTGCTGTTACCTTCCCACCGGAGCAGTACCTATTGATCTACTCGCATTTGCATGTTTTTGAACTGCTATGTTGGCAGAAGCTGGGGCTAACAGTGGGAGCTCAACCCGCTCCCTGGATTCGAACCAGTGACCTTTCAGTGAGCAAGTTCAGCAGCTCAGCGGTTTAACCCACTGTGCCACCGAGGGCTCCAATAATATATTGTATATACAATAATGGATGGTATCCTTGAAGTGTCCAGCTTGACTCTGAAGGAGCTGGGGGTCGTGATGGCTTACAGGGAGCTCTGGCGTGGTCTGGTCCATGAGGTTATGAAGAGTTGGAAGCAACTGAACGAATCAACTACAACATATGCAATAATATATTGTAATATTATATGGGTATAATATATTGTATATACGTTTAATATTGATAATAAGATTATAATGTAATACAATATAATTCTAATAATAATATGATATAATGATTGTATATATTACATGCAATATTACTAATAATATTGCAGTATAGTGGTATAGTACAATATAATAATATAGTAATATAATACTAATTATGTGCTATGCTTATTATTATTATTATTGACGAATAATAATTAAACCCCGATGGCGCAGTGGGGTAAACTGCTGAGCTGCTGAACTTGCTGACTGAAAGGTTGGTGATTCAAGTCCGGGGAGCAGGGTGAGCTCCCGCTGTTAGGCCCAGCTTCTGCCCGCCTAGCAGTTCAAAAACATGCAAATGTGTGTAGATCAATAGGTACCGATTCTGCAGGAAGGTAACGGCGCTCCATGCAGTCATGCTGGCCACATGACCTTGGAGGTGTCTACGACCAACGCTGGCTCGTTGGCTTAGAAATGGAGATTAGCACCACCCCTCAGAGTCGGACACGACAAGACTTAATGTCAAGGGGAAATGTTACCGTTACCTATATACATACAATATTCATAATAATATTATAATGTAATACAATATAATACTAATAATAATACACTATTATAATTGTATATTATATATTACATGCAATACTACTAATAATATTGCAGTGTAGTGGTATTGTACAATATAGTAATATAATAATAATATTGTGCTATGCTAATAATTATTATTAGGTGAACTGCAACTCCCAAACTCAAGGGCAATGCCCACCAAACCCTTCCAGTATTTCCTGTTGGTCATGGGAGTTCTGTGTGCCGAGATTGATTCAGTTCCATCATTGCTGGAGTGCAGAATTCTCTTTGATTGTAGGTGAACTATAAATCCCAGCAACTACAACTCTCAAATATCAAGGTCTGTTTTCCCCAAACTACACCAGGGTTCATGTTTGGGCATACTGAGTATCCGTGCCAAGTTTTGCCCAAATCTATCATTGTTTGAATCCACAGTGCTATTTGGATGTAGGTGAACTACAACTCCCAAACTCAAGGTCAATGCCCACCAAACCCTTCCAGTATTTCCTGTTGGTCATGGGAGAACTGTGTGCCAAGTTTGGTCCAATTCTATTGTCAGTGAGGTTCCGAATGCTCTTTCATTGTAGGTAAACTATAAATCCTAGCAACTACAACTCCCAAATAGCAAGGTCTATTTTCCCCAAACTACACCAGTGTTCACATTTGGGCATATTGAGTATTCGTGCCAAGTTTGGCCCAGATCCATCATTGTTTGAGTCCACAGTGCTCTTTGGATTTTGGTGAACTACAACTCCCAAACTCAAGGTCAATGCCCACCAAACCCTTCCAGTATTTTCTGTTCTGTGTGCCAAAATTGGTTCAATTTCATCATTGGTGGAGTTCAGAATGCCCTTTGATTGTAGGCGAACTATAAATCCCAGCAACTACAACTCCTATATGACAAAATCAATCCCAACCCCACCAGTGTTCAAATGTGGGCGTATTCAGCATTTCTTCCAAATTTAGTTCAATGAATGCAAATGCAAATGCATCCTGTATATCGGATACAGTAGAGTCTTGCTTATCCAACCTTTTTCTTATCCGACATTCCGTGCAAAAGGCAAGACGAGGAGGAGGAAAGAGGGAAAGAGGCAGGACCAGAAGCGGAAGTGTCCTCCCTCTTTCCTTCTGTGATTTCCACGTTCCTCTTCCACATCCGGGCACTTCCTGTTGGGCCTCTCTAGCCCTGAGGTGTTGCCTTGCCTTAGCCCTTTGAGTCCCTGTCGTTAGTATTCTAGGTGTCAAGTGCCACGTAGGAGACTCCATATTATCCGACAATTTCGTTTATCCGACATTCAGCCAACCCGTTTATGTCGGATTTACATTACGATTCATAACAATACCAACATTCCAGTTACGAAGTAGCAACGAAAATAATGTTATGTTTGGGGGTCACCCATCATGAGGAACTGTATTAAGGGGTCGCGGCATTAGGAAGGTTGAGGAACACTGCCCTAGACAGTTGGCGATTATAGTCCAAAATAGTAAATTCTCAAAGATTAGAATTAATCAGG